CTCTACCTCATGGAGCAAGACAAATCTTTACCCCTCTGTGGGACTGGCAGAAAGGAGGTAGAGGGTGAAGGGTATAGGCAAGCTTTGCAAAGACAGACAGCAAGAAAGAGGCCAAGGCTGTGTGTGAGGCCTCGAGACATTTAAATATATCTCATCACTGGTACATTTAGATAGACTTAATGCTATGTAAGGTAGCCACTTGTATAAACATATTTTAACTCTAAAATCCTAAAGGCTTTCTTTTCTGCCCAAAGAAGATAGAGATAACAATTAAAATTACTGTCATAATTTCTATGAGATATTCTCTCTCCATAGAGATAAAAATTATGGCTTTCATACTTTCATAAGTACTACATATTCTTTTTCCTCCAACAAGGCAAACCATTTCCATGAATGAAAAAGAATGAAAAAAAAATGAAATGTTTTGCAATGATCAGCTAAATGCTAAATGCTCAAAAGATCTTAAAAGTTCAATGCTGAGATAGTAAATGAGAAACACAATAAATTCACCTGGAGAGAAAAAGTTTTTCAAATTATATTTTGAGATAATAAATAAGTTAACTCAATATTTTCACATAATAAGGCAGCAACAAATGTTCAAGTGAAAAGCAGAATACATTTTTTTGGAAGTATCAAAAAACAGTTCTTCAATAAAAATCTAGATTGTTTTTGTATGTTATTAAAACTGAAATGCAATAAATTTTAAATGAAGGCTAATAACTAAACATGACAGTTACACATGTGAAACTATGGCAGAGCCAATGTGACAAGCAGTGTATTTCCACCCTGAGTGCCAAAAAGTAAACAATGATAAGTCGCAATAAGGCCTTGAATACTACACTTAAAATTAAAGATACATGTTGATAACAAGATAATATGGGAGACAACAACTACTTGGTTCCTAAACACACTTGCTATTTTATTCGTCAGACAGACAAATAACCCTGGCATGTGTACTCCTGATAATCTCTGATAAAGCCCTACACTTGTGTCTGTAATTCACCAAACTCATGCACCTATAACTGTATAAAATGAATTATTCAAATTAAAGATAAAGCAAATGAAGTAAAATTTCCTTTAAATTGTATCAACTGACATCAAACAAATACTTTTTTAATAGAATTCCCATTAAAAGCAGTTTAATTCATTGGTTTTATTACTACAAAAACCTCTGCACTTGGATGCAAAATTGTTTTTAGCTGTTACTCCTTACAAGATACAACAAAACCAAGCTGACAAATGCTTTCTGATTTCTGTATAAAAAAATGATCAAATGATTTCATTTTCCCTATTTCATTTCCCTAAAATGTGTGTATTCAACAAGGACAATACAGAAATCTGTTCATCAAGTTCTTAATTCAGTCCTAACTTTTGGCTACAGTGGCTTTTTTTTTCCTTTTTATTCAAAAGCAGAAAACAAAGACTCATAGAAGTTAGGACAATACTTTCAAGAAAAATTTGGTAATGTCAACAAAAAGAAGACAAATATCTTTGTTTTAAAGGAAGAACTTACAGAATATCCAAGCAGAAATGTCTCAGAGACTATGTAAATGCCGGTCCGGTCCAACCTGGAGATTGCACACATATACCCAAAGACATGGGACAAGAAAGCAAGGCATCTGTTTGCATACTGTGGAGATGTGTCACTCTGATTGGTTTAATAAAAAGCTGAATAGCCAATAGCTAGGCAGGATGTCCAAGCAGAGAGGATGCTGGGAAGAATAAAGGCGGTGTCACCAGCCAGATGGAGAGGAAGGAACATGGGCAGTACAGAGTAAAGGTAACTGCTCCATGTAAAAGAATGGAGATTAATAGAAATGGGTTAATTTAGGTTATACAAGGTAGTTAGAAACAAGCCTACCTTATTGCCTGAGCTTTCATAATAATAAGTCTCCATGTCTTTACTACCGAGCTGATGGTCCAAACAAACAAACCCAACTACAAATAGCATCCAATGAGGGGACACCTCTTTCCACATAAGACCTAAGAAAGCTTCAAAATAGGTTCCAAGCACACAGACACTGAGCTGAAAGTGGCTTCCTGGTTCCACAGTGTCTCAGTGTCACAGTGTCTCAGGGCTGCAGCCTGAGGACCTGGGCTGCCCAAAAGCCAGCTGCACAGTGGTTTAAAGTTATGTGCATGCAGACAGAAAAGGTTACAGATACACAGCAAAGCAGGATCTGGTGAATATAACCTCTAAACACATTACAATGTGTTTAACAATGTGTGTAGGATTGGGAGGATAAAAAAGGAAAAAGGGTATGTATAGATGGTCATAAAAATAGTTGAAAAATAACAAAGTCTTTAAAAAGAGAAGTAATTAAAAGAGAGAGAGAGCCATAAGGATGGGAAATATTATAAAACAGGGATTTTGTACCACATATGGGTTTTTTTGTTAATTTTGAATTTTCTGAATGCTAATGAACATATAACAGCTGCTGAGGGATACTGGATTGTGGAAGGGCCTGATGAATTAAACCAACCTATGTTCTTTAGGAATGCCTGAACTTCAAAATGGAAGTCAAAAAACATATACATTGGGGTAGAAGCTATGCTTTTGTTTCCACAGAAAATGAAAGGTGGTAGATTCCTTCTGGGTTACTAGAAATCCGATTTGACTAGGAGAGATCTCCTGAGTATCTTGGCTGCAGACATGTGAGTGGAAGTCAAGAAGGGTAGCTGTCTGTAAGTTTATCACTCTGCATGAGAACAGCTCAGAGATGAGATGAGACTTGATAAATCTTGTTGGCTACAGAGTCCATGTGACTTATTACTACATACCATCCTTCCCTGTGAATGGATAGAGATTTGTATTTCAGGTTGTTTATACAGTCTGAACAGACTTATAAAGCTGACAGATGCCTTTTATCTGCACAAACACAGAACAAAAAATCATCTTTAACTGACTTGTGTACAAGTACATTCCATACTTTTGTTAATGCAGATAAACATGTTTATGTGTTTTCAGGGCAAGGGGACCAGACACCAATAAAAACAGGTGGCCCAGCCTCTCAGAGTGCCTCTGCTACAGTTTTCGCAGAGTTCTGCATCCAGAACAGCTTCAGAGCTGCTGACTGAGATGGTCCAGCCTCACAGTTTATTCTAGCCAGGACTTGACCATTATCCTAGTTTCTCAGGGTCCCCCCAGGGATGTCACCACGCCCAGAAACAGAAAACAATCTAGAGAACACAATGCCAACATTCCCAAAGGTGGGGTGAGTGGTTTTGGGTCTTTCATTGGGTTATGGAGCTTGACTTCATTTAGAGGCTTGGTTACAAGTTGTTACTAGTTATTGTCCAGCAGAAAGATAAACAAAAGAGATTAGATTCAAGAATCTCTTTCTAAAAGGGAAAAACGGGGGTATAATACAGAAATGATTGGATAAAAGAGTGGATTGTTAAGTTTACTTTGAACAATCAGTGGTCTCAAATATTTTATAATGGTATGGACTTTTGTATATTGATACAAATATAAGGCTATTTTTGTTGTATTGTATATACGTGTCTACTCTTGTCTAAGGTATTGTGCCTATTCAGCTCATATAAAATGCAAACTTTTAGTCTTTGTAAACTATTTAGGATAATAAAAAATACAAGTTAATAGTCACCTATAACAATCAAACTTATAGTCATGTTAGGTAGGTTTTCAATGTCACACACATATATTTTAGATAGATAGGTGAACTTCAAACACTTCAAAGAACTACAGAACATGGCATTCATGATAAACAAGACACGTCTGCAGCATGAATTTATTTCAAAAATGGATGATGAACATTGAAGTACCTCCAGCTTGAGTTTAGCGGCAAAAACTAGTCATTTGTGCAAGAAACATCCCTTGCCTCAACTAATGACATCTTGCTGTCCAAACTGGACAAGCAGGAGACAAAAGAAAGTGATTGTCAAAATTTGCCAAGACAAGGTAGGACAGAGAGTCCTTCAAAATTCCTTCTTTACAGAAAATGTGTCAGATATTCTAGGCCTACAGGCTCAAGATGAATGCCTCAGTGTTGAAGGGGAACCTTGGGTGACTGTTCCGGCAGTCAAATGTCTCTGCTGTTTCTATCGTTTTGGAGGTTGATTGCTCTGTACTTCATGCCTATTCAGGCAATATATCCTTCTCAGGTCTTTGGTAGGGTTGAAGACTAGATAGTCATAGTTATTGTCTTCCTTAGTCAGGATAGAAAGTAAATTATTTATAAAACTCTGGACTCATGAAGAGAGCATACTGAATGGAGCATTTTCTATGACTTTGCCAAATACAAATGGGCTAGACATTGTGTATGTAATTCTTAGATGATATTTTTTCTTATTGTGTATAGTTTCATTTGTTAAAGCTATTACCTTTCCTCTCTAGACAATACCTGATAATTGTTTTTATTGTATATAGTTTTATTATGTTAGCATTAAAACCTTTCCTTTCATAGACAAAAAAGGGGAAAATGGTGTAGAATAATCTTTCTGTAAACTGTGAAGATGTGTCACTCTGATTGGTTTAATAAAAAGCTGAACAGCTAATAGCTAGGCAGTGTTTCTGGACAGAGAGGACACTTAAAAGAAGGAAGGTGTAAAAGTCAGCCTGATGGAGAGGAAGCAGCATAGGTAATAAAGAATAAAGGTAACCAAGCCATGTAAAAGAATGCAGATTACAAGATGTTGGTTATTTTAAGTTGCAAGAGCTAGTTAGAAACAAACTTAAGCTATTGGCCAAGCTTTCATAATTAATTATAAGTCTCCATATCATTATGAGGGAGCTAATGGTCCCGATTAAAAAAGTCTGATTACAAAGGTTTGAAAGCAGCACCCTGTAGCTGGAGGCCTTTGAGAGACTCTTACTTTATATCCTTACAATCATTGAAATCAGATCCATAATGGCTTTTCTCCATGGAAAATTATTGTTAATTAGAATTAAAAACGGAGGAGGACAAAGGAGATGACAAGATGGGGGGAAGCAGAAAAATATTGGAGGGGAAGGGGTCACTGTAATAAAGAAGCCGTACCTTTACCCTGTGGTCATCAACATCTATGATGGTGGCCACTCGAATTAACCGGGGGTTTCGTTTGTCCACCGCTTCCAGCTTCATGTTTGGCAAAAAGCCGTGTGGAGCCCTCTGCAGAATCACAGTACAATGAGTCAGTGAGCAGCCAGCAAGTACACTCCCCACTGCATGGTCTCCAGGATCACAGTTTTGGGGTAAACACATAGATCTTCCACGAAGTTGAGATTTAGTATTAAGAGTACATAGGGCTTTATGCACTTTCAAATCAATGTTATAAAAACTTATGAAGAGAAAGAAAGATTCTTGCCACTTAAGAGAGAGCTATAAAACACAAAGAAAGATTCAGTTATAAATTTATTAATGATCCCATCAAGGTTTGAAAAGGTTCTCACTACAGTTTCTGCATTAGTTTAGACTTTTTTCTGAAACTAATATAAAATAAGACAGTGCTTGCTATTTTCTCACTGCCTATTTAAACTGTGTAGCTCAAGAGGCAGTTTATTTATTTAGCAAGTCACCCAAAAGCTAAACATGTTTACTGAGCTTAAAATTTAAGATATTTTTAGAGAAAAGATGCTGAAGTTCGACTTTAACACTCTCCTTATATTTAACCATGAGGTAAGTTAAAGCCACATGCTATTTTTTTCATAACCTCACCCTCAACATTAGGTTTATTCTTAAAATATTTGAGATCAGGAGTCCATAATGATAAAAATACAAGCAATAAAGAAAATAGGATGGGAACCCCATTTGGTCTTGGAAGTCATTTTCCTAAGAAAATAACTGTCAAAAGTGAGACAACTCAACGGTTTTTATAGGTGAGCAGAAGGCTTTGCTTCAAAAGCTATTTCACATGAAAAGTGTTCTCTGACTTTATATGAGAAAGAGTATAGAGTTCCTCAAGACTAGAAGAGGTAACAGGAAAATAGAACTATTAATGTTCGAGTAATAAAAACTTAAGCCAATCTCTATCTGACAAACCTCACCACAGCTTATATGGGAGAATATTTTCTTCTGAAAGCATTATTATACCTACTAAATGGACTATGTCAATATAATTGGGTCTCTGAAAAGAGTTGATAATCTCACCAAGATCACTGTCCTCCATAAGGAATGTAATTGTTTAGGGTTGTAGATGCCAAATATATGTATTTGGGCTATTTCCAAATCAGCTAGAGCCTAGAAGTGTCTTTGTAGCTAAACACTTCCATCATGTTATTTTCTTGAATCTTTCTTCTAGGAAAATCATATGAAGTTTTGGAAAAATGTAGAGAAAAAAATGAAGCTACCAGACATTAGGCATGTTTGCTTGCTGAACTCTGAAACCTTAAAACTCCTGTAGCAGTAAACTCCCAGACTTCTCTTTTCTGAGTACCTCTTACACTACATCTAGCCATTAGACCCTTTACTACAAAAATAAAACAGTATTTTCTTTAAAATCTCATCTAATCACCAGAAAACATGCAGAAAATACAATTATATAAATAAATGAGGACCCCTAATATATAGATTCCTAATTAAAGATAAGCCTTTAATACAAGCACTTGGGAGGAAGAGGCAGCAGGAACTCTGTGAGTTTGAGGCCAGCCTCGTCTACATAGAGAGCTCCAGGACAGCCAGGGCAACACAGAAATACTATCTCAAAACATCAAAAACAAACAAACAAAAAGAGGCAACACAGAAATACTGTCTCAAAACATCAAAAACAAACAAAAAGAGGTAAGTTGAGTTGCGAGGACACAGTTAGAATTTGGAAAGGAATAGTGTTATAAAACCCACTGATTTCTAACACAAACATTGCTAATTGCATCACTTGTATATATACAATGTTTTACAAATCAATTTCTACACAGTTAAGTCCTTAATAAACAAACATGTTATAAATCTGATCTATATGTACTGGTATTCTCACAACTGCCAGGACAAATAGGCCTTCATGTAGATAAAACTATGCTTAACAAAAGACTCCACAGTTAATCTGTTTGATTATGCTACTACCACAATCCAAACAGCCACTGACAAAAGGAGGCATGAGTTCTCCACTCAGCAGGGCCTGAGAAATGGGCTTTAAGTTCTTCACCAACAGTGCTGGTGAGGCTTGTGGTTAGAGACTCTGGAGTCCTTGCTGGAACATAGGAGCAACAGCCAATAAACATCAACCTTGCATCCTTAACTAAAGGCAAAGCGGGTTGGCTATGAAATTGTCACTTAGATTTAAAAACAGGCATTATGTACAAGCAGCAGTAGAAGCAAGGCTCACCCAGGACACTGGGAAGGTGAATGCATGCACAACCCCAAGGAACTTACCGTGTTGAAAACTCTGGCAGGCACCGCGGTTGCTTGAGTGGCTTCCAGATATTCTGTCCAGGAAAACTTCTCTGGTTCTGGATAACCTGAGATGACACACACAAACACACAAAGATCAGAAAATTCTGTATGGATCCCCATGTGCCATGAGAGTCTTTAATAGCACTGTTACCTAAAGGCTCACTCTGCCCTGTCAGGATTGTATATAACTTGCCCCAGTCTTATGCTAACCTCTGAGAGGACTAAATCAAAAATGTGCAAGCATTCATTCACCACTTCATTCATTTACTCATCAAGACCAAGTGGTTTCCTCAGTACTTTGTAGACCTAACTGATAGCCAGGACTCCATGACTCCCAAGAGCTATGCTTATTAGGACAAACCCTAGAATTAACCATCTGGTGTTGTGGCATCAACATGAAGAAGGACTTTGAATCTTTTCAACCCCTCCAATAATTCTGTGCCTAGTTACATGCTATTCTTGCTATTAAATCTGTGTAAGTAAAGTGACTGGGACAATATATGAGGCCACTGGCAGTGGGTCCAAGAACTAACTCTAATGCACAAACTGATTTAGTGGAGCCCATTCTATATGTAGAGATAGCTTGACCAGCCTGACATTGGGGCGTGGGGGGTTGTTAATGAAGCTTCTTTCCCACCAGCCTGGTTGTGAAGCCACCTTTCTCAGCCCCAAGATAACATACAGATACTATATTAATTATAAAACTATTGGCCAATGACTAGGGCTTCTTGTTGGCTAGTTCTGTCTAAATTATTAACACATTTCTGTTAATCTAAGTATTTCCACACGATCTTATCTTACTGGAGAAGGGTCTGAACTTGTTACTCCTTTGGTGGCCTACAATGGCAACAGTTTCCAGCCCTCCTCTGTCTTCTTTTCCCAGAATTCTCCTCATCTCCTAGTCCTGCCTATCTTCCTGCCTCATTGACTGAACAGTGTTTTATTCATTAACCAGTAAGAGAAACATATATACAGAAAGACAATTCCCATCAGGGGGTGGAGAGGTGCCTTGGTCCTGCCTCAATGAGATGATAGGACAGACTTAGAAGACTTCCTAGGGGAGGCTTTATCCTCTACAAGGAGCAGCTGGGTGGCAGGAGGACAGTGTGGGAGCAATAGGAGAGGAGGAAGGGGGAATGGGAATTGTAATGTAAAAAATAAATTAATAAAAATAATCTGTGAAAGCACAATGTTTCAAAATAGCTATATTCATCATTGCATTTTACTTTATTTGTTTTTGGTTTTTGAGACTGGCTTACATGATGTCACCCTATTGATACTCTTGTCTCCACATCCTGAGGGCTGGAAGGACTGGAACAAGGCACATATGGTAACCAGCCTATCACCAATTATAAATATATACATAACAGATGTTCAAATACATATGTACATATTTATATATAAACGTTTGACACATCTCAAAACAGCCTATTTTTCTGATTCCTTTTGGCTGAGTATTTTGATACTTTAGAGGTCACTGTTCTTTTATTAACTGCCTCTATTGGAGATGTACTGATATTGTGTTATTATCTTCCTCCCTTCCATTTCAGTAATAAGTAATTACATTTATTTATCAGCTCTATCTTTCCCTTTTCTCATCATTTCAATAATCTTCCTCTTATCCAATTAATTTTAAAGCTGTTTTTACTAAACTGAATTGCAAAGCATTTACTTTTATTTTCTTAATTAATGAAAGTATTTCATATTGTGAACCTATTCTTTTTGCCCCAATACAGAACTAGAAAACTCTATACATTTGCATGAATAAAGTGCTCTTTTACTTATACTTATAAAAAATTACAGTCCAATTGAGTTATTGTCCATATGTGTAAGAGATACTCCAGGTGATTAATGGCTGTGTTTAAATATTTACAGTATCAATGTTCCATATAGGGAAACCCAACACATGGATAAGTCCAGTTTCAGCCTCTGGATAGGGGAATCCTTGATTATTTTTTTCTTCAGACACCTAAGCAGAAACACATTTTATTCCCCTGTAAAATCCATCTGAAAATACAGGAATCATACACAGCACAAGTCCTTAAAACTGTAACCTCCTGGTCTAGGTAACCTTCCCATTGGGAAGTAAGACAACCATCAATATACCTATAGCCAATGAAAGACTCAAAACAATGTTAAAATAATGGATGGCAGTTCAATTTAATAACCAGCATTAAAAGGTATCTTCTAATAAGGAGTAGGTCCAATCAGCATAGAGGAAATGTAGATCACAAACACATATGTTGAATGGACAAAGTAGCACATTACACCAACCACTCATCCAAGCAGCATGAGTCGTGGACGAGGCCAAGGTAAAGCCATCTACTAGATAACATCGTACAAGAAAATGCAGCACTCCACGGGGCTGCTGCATCTAAGAACACCAAGCTTTGTTCTTCTGTGAAGAAGGAGCTGTCTGACATTTTGTGTGATTTATCCAAGGAAGGACAACTAAAAGTGGGATCAAAGCTGGAGCAAATGTCTCCTGCCCCAGTGCTTAGAGGGTTATAGAGTGCTGCTGGGCCCCCTGCTCAAGAGAAATCACTAAGAAAACAGGATTATGTGTCTAGTAGCAACTAAGCTCTGGCTGGCTCTTGTCATCATAACAGCTCGGATTACCCAACAAAGCCCAGTAGATACCACTCCTTCATCCCTCTGTTTTGGATTCTGGATGGAACTAAATTAAGTGTGGTAGCTCATCCCAGCACGCAGGCCTCCGACAGGAAGGTTTCAAACAGAAAGTTCACTCCCACAGAAGTCTCTGTATGTGTGTGTATGTGGAGAGTGGGGCGAGGCGGTATTTGCTGACCACACAATCAAGGGCTCGCTGAGGATCCCCGTCAGCACTATATGACCTAGCATGAGATTTCAGATACCTTCATCACTACAAAGCCTTGCACAGATTCACTTTGCCCTTTAAAGCAAGGAACATTAGAACAAAGCTGGCATATTTATAGTGCCACAGACACCAGAAGCCTTGCATACATATTCAGCACCACACAATTGAGAGGGGAAAAATGCCTTCTGGAAAAATAACTAAAGTAAGATCACTAACAGGCTGTCACAGTATCACCTGTCACCCACCACTCTTTGGTCTATATAGGGAGAATTGTGCCTCTGGCTTTTGTCAAGAGAGTTTGTTACCTGTTTGTTTGTTTGTTTTATTTTTGTTGTTGTTTTTAAAAGATAGAATCTTACTATGTAACCCAGGGTGGCCACAGAGTCCCAGGTATCCGCCTGTCTTCTGAGTTCCTGGATCACAGGTGTGGACTGTCACACCCAGTTCAGAGAGCTAATTTTGTAAATGTTTTGTTCAAAGCAGAACCAAGTTGAAGTCAATGCAGAATAAACTCTGTAAAGAATGAATGTGTCTAGTGAAATCACTCACAACTAATGACTCTGTTCTGCACTTGCTCTTGCCAGGCCCTGACCCTGCCTGCTGCCTTCTTGTTATGAATGCCTACCATTCAGGGTTATTAACTAGCATCCTTCCTCTCCCCTCTCCTAAACTTAGAATAAAACTCTGTAGTGGTTTTGTCTTTGTTTTCCCCTCTTTTTAACTACATAATATTTCACTCAGAGTCACAGGATGCTGTGACTGACCATTATGTCAACATTTTACTATGCTTGTTATAGCCTCAGGACCCAGCTGTGCCTCACACTTAAGAGGTGCCTACTGCCATTTTAATTAATTAATTGACCCCCAACTACCTATGTCAATGGACTATACATACAGGAAGTAGCTTATTACCACCAATACAATAATTCTTTGATTTGTAAACAATTAGTTCACCTTGAAACCAAATAAGACAACATATCTTTTTAGCCTGAGTTTTGATATTATAATTTAGCTCTCCAAGGAAACTGTGAAATAATTACTGACTAAGAACAATATTTTACATGTTCTGCAAACATCTAAACCGTCTCAGATAATCAGCTGATTGGCAATTCTGGAGATACAGGGAAAGTACTGCTGGTATTCCTGGAGAATAAACTCTACCGTTGCCCCAGGTTTCAAGGACTGCAGTCATAGTCTCAGAAAATAACTCTCATTCAGCATTCATTCACAAGTTTTGATGCTAAACTTACAGTTTTTTTAATGCAGAAATAAACACACATTCTTGCACTATGTTCCTTTCTAAATGCAACCAAATATCAATAACGACATTTATAATTTTTATTACATTCTTATGTTTGTATTTTTGTGAGTGTAAGGGAAGGTGGGGTGCCTGCCAGCTGCCATGTGTGAGTGGAGGTCACAGTGGGAATCAGTTGTCTCCTTTCACCTTTGGTGACCTGGGGACTGAACTCAGGTGACCAAATTGCATGTTAGGCATCTTTACCTGATGAGCTAGCTAAATGGCCCCGATAAAGGCATTTTTAAAGGAATGCTGAACAACAGAAAGAATCAGATTAATTGCAAAGAATGCACACTAGCCACTGATAAGAAAGGTAATGTGGAAGTCTTGTGTGAACTTGCAACCATTTGTGAGCCACCAAATCATGCAGAGCATGCAACGCCAAAGAACCGAGGTGTTTTCTTTCTGGGAAGAAACTTCGTCAGCAGTTTCTGGACTCCTCTGCAGTTAGGTACAATTCTCTGACTGGTGCTAACTAATGCATGTAAGTCAGAGGATGCAACAAATCATTTCTGAGTTTAGCCACAAAGCCTCCTAGCCACCATGTGTAACCACCAGTCCAGAACATTGCTAAGGATCCAGAGAAGTACCAGCCAGAGCAACAGCAAAACCACAGAAAGAACAACAACAATAAAAACACCACAAATCCACATCAGACACAACTGAAAAGTGCTTAATGTGTTAAAGACATTAGGATTTTGAAGTGGTCTAAGACACTAGTTAGTTCACAGTAGCTAACGAAAAGGGCCTAGCAACAGTGCTTTAACATTGAGGGAACGACTGGTTGGCGAGGAGAGAAAAACAGAGGGTGACAAAAATACCAAGTTTTGCAGCTGAGGTACTATAAATAAAGTGCTATTTAAGCCAAATAATAAAATAATTAAAGCGTAACTAATACAATAATATAAAGTCACAGAGAAAATAGA